TCCCTTCTCACCCTATCTAGAAATGATGCAGCATCTTCAATATTTTGACACTGGAGAGCGCATGCAATTGATATTGGATCAAGATATTTAAATTTTTTTACAAATGCATTTATCATAGATTTTGGTGTCTGATCATCAGGAATACTCATTACCAATCTGTATGCACGCTCAAATTTTAAAAGGAAACTGAAGACATCTTCATTTATATTTGGTTTTAAATTTTCTAAAATCTCAATATCCACATGCTCATTTCCTGTTGTTAATCTTATTAATTGTGTCAATCTATCTCGCTCATTCCCATGGACTATTTCACCATCTTCATCATTAGGGGTACTAATGGGTGGGGTCAGTCTACGTGCAATGTATGTTGGCAGCCATATTTTAAACAATCTGTTCCTTTGTTCGTCATTCAAATTATGTTTCGATAAATTAGACTCAAATATGTCTGCATTACCAAAGGCATCCATTGATGGATTATATGGGGGAATATCTTTGGTAACTTTCATCAGCTGCTCTTGAATTTTTAATTTAAGTTTTGCAGCCTTATCTAACAATTTTCTACGTTGCAAATCAGCCTGGGATGATATTTCTGTGACATCAACTTGCTCTGGTATCAAATTATGATCACTCCTTGTAATCACACACAACTGTTTAGCTTCAGTTCTAAGTTTACAAATTAATTCAGATTTAAGATCCAGTTGTTCTCCCAAATCATAAATACTTGCCTGTAGTCTATCACAGTTTGTACATTTCATTTCTGTTACACATACAGATTTCTCTTTACTGTCTGTCTGTGTACTTTTTAAATCTTGCACCTTTACTTGTGCTGGTACTTGTAATTTTGTTGGAGCCACTCCTGTTCCAAGGATCATTGTGTCAAATGTTTCTACCAATTTTAAAACATTTCTAATTTTCTTTTTTGTTTTATTTAAACATAACAATTTATTATCAATAGCTGCATTTGCTTGTTTACATTGTTCATACAAACTTGCCCACAATTGACTATCTGTATGGCATCTATCAAACACAAAATCAAGTTTACTTTTCTCTGCAATATCAGTAACAAAATCCATTATTACTCACCAGACAAGATGATCTTTAATGCACGACACCGTCTGCCTTTAGTCTTACAGCTGCGCAGTGTGGATTTGCTTCTGGAAACTTGCCAATCTCTGCCACGTGTTTGCTTCTAGATTTCACGTTGTATCTTGTGCTGCTTTCTTTATAACACGTGCTTTTGTCTGTTGTAGAATATAATCTTGGAACCGTCTTTGTGATTTAAAAAAACCTTTGTCTTCTAATAAGCACACACAACTCTTAACACAGCTTTAAACACGTTCTTTTTTCTCTTTCTGCCTGCACACACTTCTATTCAACACAAAAAGTAATTCGATATCCGTGCTCTCTCTGCTCACCTCCCCCTCTGAATAGAAGTTTGTAACAGCAGAAAACAGTCTGGCTGGCTCCAGGGCCGTCTTTAATAACGAATGGACCCTGGGCAAGTGTTTGCTTGGGCCCCCTGTGCCCTGCCGCTCTCGCCCCTCACTCCCTGGTATGCAATCACGGCATTCATCCCAACGCAGTGGCGGTACTAAAGTAGAATGAATTTTATTGGGACCCCCAATTGCAAGGTTGGACTAAAGGTAGAACCCCATCTGTCGTGCAACTCCAACAATGCTTTGACAGCTGGGACTCTACCAATTTCCCATGCTTGCAGGGTTGTATTTAGCACTGAGCCATGTTAGTATGTTTGAATGTAAGCATGTGTTTGTATGGAGTATGTTTGTATGAATGTGTTTGTATGTGGTACTGGAGTTTGAATGCAAGTGTGCATTTATGTGTAGTGTTTGTTTTTGAATGTAGGAGTGTGCTTGTATGTAGTGTTGACGTTTCAATGCAGGAGTGTGTTTTATATGTAGTGTTGAAGTTTGAATGGAGGGTGTATTTGTATTTAAAGTTGCGGCTCAGATGCACAGGTACACACTCTGACGCACAAGCAGATACACAGATACATACACTGACTACATACAGATAAACAGGCACATACACTGACAGACACTGACACAGGTACATATATTGACACACACACAGACACATACACTGGTAGACGTACTGACAGACATACTGACACAGGCACATATACAGACATACTGACACACAGACACATATACTGACACACAGACACATATACCGACATACTGAGACACACACACAGACACATACACTGATCAACATACTGACACACATACACTGACAGAAATACTGACACCCACACAATGACAGATATACTGACACCCACATACACTGAGAAATACT